ATTTCCTTAATAAAAGTTTCTTGATTGATTGAGGGCAAGGGATAACCAGATGGACAGCATGGCACCCTCATCAGGTAAAATTGAGGAGGGCCTCCAGGCCATTGGGTAAACCTCCCACCATGAACTTACGATAGGGCATAGACAGGTGCTGGAGGATTGGCTGTGATCTGAATCTGAGTCTATTGGATAGAACAACCAAATTGATGAGATCCCAGACCCATTCCAGTGATGAAGTATATTTTATTGATACCTTTTGTTTTCACACCATAATCATTTTTGAAAAAGAAAAATCTTACTCCCATCAAGACTGAATCCCCCTTTATAACAAAAAAATGATTAAGCAAAAACTTTTGACCCAGTAGATACATATGACAATATATACAATAGTCAGTCCTGGAAGTCCTCCAGGGTCATCACTGGCTTTTTACTTACTCAGAGTTTGACTTGTTTTTAGGGATCTTTGCATGTACAGTGTTTTGGTAAATATATAGATATAGATATAGATATAGACATAGATATAGATATACATATATATAGTGTGTGTATGTGTATGTAACCTTTGCTTATTTCACACTGCTTTAGTTCTTACAACTCTTCTCATTTCTCTGTTTTTTAGCTTTGTCATTTTTTTATTGCACAATAACATTTTACCATGTTGTTACATCCCATGGTTTTTTGTTTCCAGTTCTTTGCTTTTGCGAAAAATATTTGAATATATGAATGAATATTGGACTTTCATCTTAGTCTTTCATTTCATTGGGTATATGCCCAATAACTGTCAATGAGTTCAGTAATCTCTTAATTGCTAAATCCAATAGTTTTTTTCTCAATCCTCATTCTTCTTGAGCTTCTAAAGTGTTTGACACTGTTGACCATCCCTTCCTCCTTGGTACTCTCTGTTTTTTCATGATTCTGCCCTATCCTGGTTCTCCTCCTTCCTGGCTGACTGCTCCTTTGCAGTTACCTTTGATGAATCCTCATTCTTGTCTTATCTCCTATTCATGTATATTCCCCAAGATTCTGTCCTCTTCTCTTTTCTTTCTTCTTGCTTTTGATGCCCTCATTAGTTCCCATTAGTTGTTATTATCTGTATTCTGATGGTTTCCAAAACTAGATATCCTTCCCTCATCCTTCTCCTGAGCTCCAATATCACATCTCCAGCTGTCTAGTAGGTATCTCCATCTATATGGATGTTTCATAGGCATCTCAAACTTAACATGGCCAAAATGATCTTATTACCTTTCCTTAAAACTCACTCTTCCTAACTTCTCTGTTTTCATAAAAGGTGACCCATCTTCCAGTCACTCAACTTTGCAACCTTGGAGTCTTTCTCAACTAATTCTGACTCTTCCTTACCTCTTCCCCCATAGCCAACCAGTTGCCAAATTTGTTGAAACTACCTCCAAAACGTTTCTCAAACCCAATATTCTCTTTTCTTCTCCCCTATGGACACACCATATAGTAGTTAACTTCATTGCCTGTCCTCTGGACTATTATAATAGCTTCCTAATCAACTGGCTTTGTTTCTATTTCCTCTCCATCTTTCAGTTGTGAAATTGATATTCCTAAAGCACAGGCCTGACTCTGTCAATCAAGCAGTCGATTAACAAGCACAAAGGGCCAACTCTGTGCCAGGCTCTGTGGTGGCAAAGGACCCCCCCCCCAATAGTCTTTGTTTTCTGGGAACTTATATTTTATTGAGGAAAATGTGCAAACATTTAAGAAAATACAAAATACAAGTAAATTTTGGGGTGGGGGGTGGGAGAAGAGACTGGGCAAATGAGAAGGGACTTCATGTAGGAGGTATCATTTGATCTGAGCATTAGAGGAAGCCAGGGATTCCTAGAGATAGCAGTAATGAAAAAGTGCATTCCAGGCATGTGGGACAAGGTGCAGAAACTGACAGAAAAACAGAACTGGAGAGTTGGAAGGGCTGTCAGAAGAGGGATGCACTCTTCTGTGAGAGAAACAGTACATGGGACAGTTTGGCTGGACCGTGGAGTGTGAAGGTGAGCCATATCTAAATTTGGAAAATTAGATTGTAGAGAGATTTGAATGGCTTTAAATGCTGAACAGAGAAATTGATATTTTTATCTGAAAGGTAAGGGAACCATTGGAGATTTTGGACTAGGGTGGTGACATGGTCAGGCCTGTGCTTTAGCTGTGTGGAGGATGGATTGGAGAGGAGATAGTTTAGATGAAATGAGACCTAGGAGGGTCTACTGAAATTGTTCAGATGAGAAGTAAGCCTGGACTTGGATGGCAGCCCTGTGAGTAGAGAAAAGGGATGGACGTAAGATGTGTTATGCGGTAGACTTAATAAGCTTGGCAGCTTATTGGACATGGGGGTGAGGGAGAGTAAAGACTTGAAAATGACAGAGGCAGCTAGTGGTACAGTCACTAGAGTGCTGGGCCTAGAGTCATCAGGAAGACTGGAGTTCAAATCTGAGCTCGGACTGTGTGACTCAGAGAAAGTCATTTAACCTCTGTTTGCCTCAGTTTCCTCCACTGTAAAAATGGGGATAATAACAGCACCTACCTCACAGGGTTATTTGAGGAAATAATATTTGTAAGAAAAAACACTTAATTTTTACAGACAGTGTCTCTGATAAAGGCCTCATTTCTAAAATATATACAGAACTGAATCAAATTTCATAAGAATACAAGTGATTTCCCAATTGATAAATGGTCAAAGGATATAAACAGGCAGTTTTCAAATGAAGAAATTAAAGTTATCTATAATCATATGAAAAAAATGCTCTAAATCACTACTGATTAGAGAAATGCAAATTAAAACAACTCCTGAGATACCACCTAATGCCTATCAGGTTGGCTAATATGACAAAAAAAGAAAATGATAAATGTTGGAGAAGATGTGAGAGAATTGGAACACTAACGCATTGTTGGTGGAGTTGTGAACTGATCCAACTATTCTGGAGAGCAATTTGGAACTATGCCCAAATGGCTATAAAACAATCATACTCTTTGATCCAGTAATACCACTACTAGGTCTGTATCCTAAAGAGATCATAAAAAAGGGGAAATGACCTATATTTTTAGTAGCTCTTTTTGTGGTGGCAAAGAATTGGAAATTGAGGGGATGCCTATCAATTGGGGAATGGCTGAACAAGCTGTGGTATATGAATGTAATGGAATACTATTGTTCTATAAGAAGTGATGAGCAGGTGGATTTCAGAAAAACCTGGAAAGGCTTATATGAACTGATGCTGAGTGAAGTTAGCAGAACCAGGAGACTATTGTACACAGTTAACAGCAACACTGTGCCCGACCAACTCTGATAGACCTAGCTCTTCTCAGCAATGTAATGATCTAAGACAATCCCAAAAGACTCAAGATCTGGAATATGCTATCTACTTCCAGAGAAAGAACTATGGAGTCTAAATGCAGATCGAAGCACGCTATTCTCTCTTTTTTTCTTTTTCATGTTTTTTCCCTTCTGTTCTGATTCTTCTTTTGCAGCATGACTAATGTGGAAATATATTTACTATGATTGTACATATATAGCTTATATCAGATTGCATGCTGTCTTGGGGAAGGGAGAGGGGAGGGAGGGAGAAAAAAATTTGAAATTCAAAATCTTATAAAAGTGAATGTTGAAAACTAAAAAAAATTAAAATTACAAAGTATTTGGCACGTAGTAAGTACTATATAAATGCTTATTCTCTTACTCTTATCTTTCAAACCTAGATAACTGGAAGAATGGAGGTGCCCTAAATAGAGTAATTACGAAGAGGGGTGATTAATAAGCCTGCCCAAGAAGCTTCCATGATTTCCTATTTCCTCTAGAATAAAACGTCAACTCCTGTTTGACATTGAAAGCCCTTTACAATCTGGCTCCAGTCATGTCTTTCCAGACTGATTTCATATGAACCCCCCTCACACATGTTAAGTCTAAAATATTCTACCTGTTGTTCCCTTTATGGGACATTCTGTCTGCCCCTCTGGGCCTTTCTATAGATTATATTCCATATGCCTATAGAAAAATGATTTCTCCCTTCCCTTTTTTCTTTTTTGGCTTAGGCAATCAGGGTTAAGTGACTTACCCCAGGGTCACATAAATTAGTAAGTATCAAGTTTCTGAGGTTACATTTGAACTCAGGTCCTCCTGATTCCAAGGCTCTATCTACTGTGCCACCTAGCTACCTCATCCCTCTGTTCTTTCAAAGCTTGTCTCAAGAGCCACCTCAAATAAGAAGTCTATCTTAGTGCAACCCACCCTTCAATTAACTTCATGAGTATTTTAAATTTACTTATCTGTACATATTATTTTCCTCCAGTAGAATGTAAGTTCTTTGAGGGCAGAACTCCCTTTTTTTTTGTCTGTGTGTCCACAGAGTAGGCCTTAATAAACGCTGCTTGAATTAAACTGCTCCAGCCTCTCCGAATATCAGTCTTCTCTTCCAACTGAACTATCTCATCTATTTCCTGAAATTTCTTTTATTTGAAATTTCTGAATTTTCTGAAATCTGAAATTTCTTACCCATTTCTTTTCTCTGGGTGCTGGATGACAGTACTCAGGTGACAAATATCCTTTCTATTTCTCCATCTGTTGATCTTCACCAAAATGCCTTCTGCTATGTTTCCTAACTCTGATTCCTAGGTTTTCTCACACAAGGATGTCAGTTACCAGCCTTTGAAGATCCCCGGCCTGTGCCTCTCAGAGAAGGAAGTTCCCAAAGAAAAGGCTCATCAAAAGGAAACCAAAATTTGGGCAATTTTCTGAATTGGGCAGACCAAAATATGGACAATTTATTCTGGGAATGAAGGAAGTAGAAGGCAGAATACTGGCTTATTGCCCTATCCTGGCCCATCTGAACTTGTGAATTAACTCAGGGTTGTCAGGGAGAGTGCCCTCCCAACATATCTCCTGCTGTTCAATGTCCCCTAGAATTCTACCCCACCCAGCACACAACTTAGATGGTCTCTAAAGCTTTTTTTTTTTCAGCTGTAACTTTTATATTATTTTTCTGGTTTCATAGCTTGGAGGTCTTACCAGGAAGAAACTGAGAGCCAGCTGGAGCTGCCATCTATCCTGAAAGGGTAACCTATTCCCTTTTCCCATCTGCATCAGTAGTAGGTTTCTGTGTCTATCATGGGGTTAATGAGGGGGATGTGTGGGGAGGGGGGTTATGGCATGGGGAGTGGAGGGGGGAACAAGAGAGATAAGGATACCTCAAATGCCCCTTCCCTAGTTCCTGCCTCCTTAACTTTCTCCAGCCCTCAGCTAGTCATTCCTGTTTCCTGCAGCCACAAGGTCTCTAGGAAGGGCAGCGTCCGGCGGATGCTATGCACAGACTCCGGCTGTGAAGTGTGCAATTCTGTGGCTTTGGAGGCTGATCTGCTGTTCAAATCCATTCTGCCTGAACTGGCCTCCTGGGACCTGCCATCAGATCTGCCTCTAACTTTGCCTTCCAACCTTTCCCTGGTCCCCAGCTCCTCACAGAACATAGTTCCAGCACACACCTCCCCAGTGAATCCCTCTTCCTCGTTGGCTGTCAACATCTTACCTGGTCATACTCTTTCTCTTTCTCCTATCACACCAATGGACCTCAGTTTCTCCCTGCCCCATTCCCCACCTTCAGCTACTATCCCTTTTCAGGACAAATCCCCCATCGGGATCCAGTCCAGTACCACTTCCAGGACCCATATATCCGTACTAGCTCATACCTCAACTGTTGTCCGCACTTCCTTGACGATGGACACTTCCACAGAAAACACCCCTCCTGTGGTCTTGGCCCCTCCCTCAGCTACTGAGCTTTCAGGGGCCCTCACTTCCTCCCTGCAGCCAAAAATCCCTCTGGCCTCATCCGTGATCCAAACTCCCTCAGTGGCCCAAATTGCCTCAGTGAAACCCAATATCCCAAAGGCCTCTAGTCCTTCACCCAACTCAGCTATTCTCCAGGAATCAGCAAGCCAGTGTATTACCCATACCTCCCTACTGGATCTCCAATCAGAAACCATCAGCTCATCTTTAGCTTCCACCCCTTTTGGTTCTCCCACTGTATCTTTTAATCCCCCCCCTCCTGTGGCTCCTACCCTTTCTCTTGCACCGTCCCCTCCCGTGGCTCGCCCCCTTCCAGCGGTGGCTCGCTCCCCTCCAGCGGTGGCTCGCTCCCCTCCAGTGGTGGCTCGCTCCCCTCCCGCGGTGGCTCACCCGGTTCCCGTGGCTGCTGCTCCTCCTCCCCTGGCTCCCGCCGCTCCTGTGGCTCCTGCCCCTTCTATTATTCCCACCCCTCCTCTTAATCCCACCCTATCTTTTGCTCCCACCCTTCCTGTGGCTCCTGTCCCTCCAGTGGCTCCCGGCCCTTTCGTAACCCCCGCCCCTTATTTTGCTCCCATGCCTTCCGTGGCCCCCGCGCCTTCTTTTGCTCCCGCCCCCTTTTTTGCCCCCGCCTCCTTTTTTGCTCCCAGGCCTACTTTTGCTCCCTCCGCTTTTGATTCTGCCCCTTCTGTTGCTCCCACTCTTTCTGTTGCTTCCATCCCCCCAGTGGCCCAAATTTCATCCTTAGACCAATCATTTTTAATAGACCCTGCTTACCTACGGGCACATTCCCAGCTCTGCCATTCTCCTTATGTGGCCCATACCACCTCACTGGACCCCAACAACTCAAGAAATTACACCACTTCTGTGCCTTCGAATCCTGCCTTAGCCCCTACCCATTCATCAGACTTTACCTCCTCAAAAGTCCCCATTTTCTCAAGGGGCCCTGATTCCTCCTTATCTCTTTCCTCTTCAAGATCCTGCTTAAAAGTTCCCACCCCATCAACAAAACCTACCAGGACCTCAAGATTCTGTACCTCATCACCAGCACCCAAGGCCTCTCTAGCCTGCACTTCCTCTATGACCAGAACATCTGGAGACACTTTAACCTCTTCTTCTGTCCATCTCCCCTCCACCTACAGTGAATCTAATAGCCACACCCCTTCCCAGGCTTCTACCTTCTCCACAATCTGTACTCCCTCTGTGGTTCATACTTCTCCTATAGTCTGCACCACCTCTACAACTCCCACCACTTCTGCGGCCCCCATCTTGTCACAGGCTTCCCCCCCTTTAGAAGATGAAACTTGCTCACAGGTTCTTCGATCATCATTGTTCTTCGTTCCCTCTAGCGCCCAAACTCATTCCACAGCTCAAACCACTTCAGTAGCCACTACCACCTTCCATGAAACGATTTGTTCACAGGTCCTTAGATTTTCACTACCTGGTATTACTCCTGTAGTCCACAATCCTCCCAGGGCCGATACCTGCTCTGTACCTCACACGCCACCACTGAACGTCACCTCCTCATCAGCTCACACTGCCACACCAAGTAGAAAACCTTCGATGGACCATGTGCCCATGAAGAAGCCTACGATCTTTCTGAATCCCACCCCTTTCGTAGACTTGCAGCCTCCTCAACAATCTTCCCCGACTCCAAGGTGCCCAAAACTTCCTTTAGCACCAGCCACAAGTGAAGAGCCAGATCTGCTGAGCACCCTTCCAAAAGTCTCATCCATAGATGACACTCCTCTGATGACTTCAGCCCCATTGACCTCTGATACTGATGAATCATGTGCAACCTTTTCAGGCTCCCCTGAAGGGCAGAATTCCCAAGAGTACTTAATGCTCCCTAATCTGTTCCCAATTGGGGGTTCCCGATTGGAGCCCCTTTCTCTTGGCCTACAAAAGGTAAAAAAGAAGGGGACTCTGCCCATTCCTATGCCAGAGGAAAAGCCATGTGACAGTGAGACCTCAGAGTGGCAGGAGAAGAACTTGGTTCCTTTACGACTGCAACTTTCTGAGAAGGCTATGAATGCTGGAGCCCAGCAGCACCCAGAGGCTGAGGAAGTCTCACTCCTCAGCCCAGGTGCCCAGGAGTTCCTGGAGATGCACCTCACAGAAAAGGTAGCACTCCATATTTGGAAGGAAAAGGAATTACTGAGCCAGCGTAGGTCAGATCTCCCACCATGTTTTCGTCACATAACTCCACCAGTGAAGAAATTGTCTCTAGTTCTGAAAAACACAGAATCATCTGTTAAGTATCTGTCAACCCCAGATTCACAGTCTTGGAGCCGCCATGGGGCAGACCAGCCCTTCTTGGATTCTGAAGGGTCCTTTGTCAATAATATGAAACCAGAGCAGATGTCCAACTCTCGGCGGCTCCACAAACCTATATCCTTGATCCTCACCCCCAACACCCTCCATTTCCTGAACAAAGTCTGCTCCGGGCCTGGGTGGGGTCCTGAGAGCACAGTGAGCCGTAATCGACAATGCATTCAGCTTTTCTGGGGTCTCCCCTCTCTACACAGTGAATCTTTGGTGACAACCTACATGGGGTCTAGCTCCCCATCTTGGCTGGGAGCCACAATCAAATTGCCGCTAGGGGACAATCCTTTAGTTTTCTTTAATGACCTTTCCTACCTCCACCTGCCCAACTCAGCAAATCAACCCTCTCTGCCTTCTCCAATCCAGCACTTAAAACTACTTCCAACCTCATCCCCAACCTCATCCCACCCATCTTCACCACCACCTCCACCTGTACCCTCACCCCTAACTCCACCAGTGACTTTACCCCCACCCCCACCCCCATCCCCTTCTCCATTCCTACCCCAGATCAGGACCTTCACAACTGACCCTGAAGAGACCACAATAAGGATCCCAGCTATCTACCTCCCCAAGTTCCAGGCCTTGGAATGGCACCTGCTGCAGAAGCAGCTCCAGTCCTTATGGGGGGTGCCCCATATTGTTCAGAGATCTCATGAAGCCTTCAAGCCTTTGCCTCTCCAGCTGCCCCAGGCCCATAAGTCCCCTTGCCCCCAGGTGCAGATTTCCAACTGGCCCCAGGATTTGTCTTTCCTAACCGAAGATGTCAAGAAACTATTGGAGACCCATCTCCGAAGAAGGCTCATCCAACACCACTGGGGCCTGTCCCAGAGGGTCAAAGACTCCATCAAACACCTTGTGCCTCAGACCATACCTCAGCAAGACTCGGCAAGGCCCGGAAAGCCTAAGCTTTCTACATTCCAGGACCTTAAGCACTTTGGCAAAAAGGATACAGCAAGTGACTCAACAGCTGCTCTAGGTGTGGCATCAGCAATAATTCCAAAGAGAGGTCCAGCTAGTCACACAGATGAGATAGAGAGTGACCTTGAGAAAAGCTCATCCTCAAGTCAACAGGAGGCATTGCAGAAACATTTTCTTCAGAAGAGCGTAGCAATACAGCGGAAAGTGGTTCCTGAGATGGTGAGCCATTCCTGGGCTGATGCAAGGCTTAGATCTGTATCATTACAGCCTACTCAGCCATTACAGAAACAACCAAAAAGGAAAGAGATTGCTCTTACCACTCCATCTATGGAAAACACAGCAACTCAAACCCCACCTCAGCCCCAGCCACAATCCCAGCTCTGGGCTCCTTCACCCACTGAAGAAGTGATTTACCAAGCTGAGCCGTGCAAGGACATTCCATTCCTTGATCCAGAGACTAAGAAAATCCTTGAATCCCACATTCGCCATATGCACATTCGGCTGAGGTGGGGTCTGCCCAGAAAGGTCCTTGAATCCATCTACCTGTTTAAACTAAAAAATCCCTTAATTCAAATTTCTTCCCCTATTATAGGTAAGGGCCGGGGGCCTGATATTATGGTAGGAGAAAGAAACTTCCAGGAAATCTGGGTAGGTGGTGTTGCCAGAGAGGCCTCAGCTGTTGTTTTAGATATCTTAGAGGCAGAGAAGGGTTCCTGGAATATTGGGAAGGAATTGTGGGAAGCACCTCAGGCTGGGGGGGACTGGGAAGAGAATGCATTTTCCCCTAGACCTGGCTTGATGGATAGGGGACCCAGACAGCACATAACTGAGACGGGATCTAGGAAGGAAATTTTAGAGCTGACTATGAAGCATCCATCTTTACTTCCAAGACAGAGGGACCGAAACTCCATTTTCAGGAAGCAATTTCAAGGACAGGGAATACAGGAGCAAAGAGTATTTCCTCTCATCAAGGACAGTGTATTAAACAAGTCAATTAGCTTCTCCAAGCTAAATTTTCACCTGAAGAAAAGGATGGTGGAGAAGGTTTTGGGAATTCCCTTAAGGGTAAGGGAGTCTAGAGAAATGGCCACAAGATCATCATTCCTTTTCTACCCTCAACTGGATGACTCTGTGGTAGCTGAAGAGACTGAAAGTTTTCAAGGGCTTTTACATGAGAGAGAGAGTGAAGAAAAGGTCCAGATGGCTGAGGGACAAACCCTCTCTCTAAGAACCCTGAATACCCAGGATTTAAGCCACCTTATCTTTAAACAATTTACTGATGAGGAAGAGTTCAACCTGAGAGTACTAGAACAGAGCTACTCTGAGAGCCACACTCCACACACACTGGTCCAGCACCATGCTCTTGGTTTTCAGACCACTGAGGTCTCCCAGTCATACTCTCTGGAACAACTGAATGAGGATATGACAGGTGCTCAGGGGCCTGGTACTCGTGTGAAGTTGGAAGGAAAAAGCCCCAGCTTGAGGGCATACCAGAAACTTCCATCTCAGGTCACAGACAAAAAACAGGCCAAAAAACGGATACACTCTCAGAGAAAAGGGAGCCTCAGTAAGCCCCCAATAGACCAAGGAATGAGGGATAAAAGACAGGAAAAGGATCCCAATTTATTGAAGGGCCACACCTCTAATAGTAGGTGGCCATCTCAGGGTCCTATGAACAGAGTTTTAGGGTTCTCAAAGCAGGAAGGAGTACTCCAGCGCAAAATCCCTTTAGCAGAGAAGATGAAGGGCTTCCTCAAGTGGCTTTGTCCTAAGAAGAAAATCAGAGGGACAGAAAAGCCCCTCCCTAGGGCAGAGGTAGCCATAGCTGGAGAGATCACTGAGCAAAGTCCATTTACAGTCAAACCTCCCTCCAAAGGGAGTAGGGTTCCTTTCAGCCACAGGGCTCCTTCAGCTCCAGAGGATATGACAGTAGTTGGCCTGATCTTACAGAAGAAAATGGGGATGATGGATGAGCTCTATGCTTGGGAAGAGAACCAGCAACAGGAGAAGAAGCTCCAAATTGTGGAGACCCAGGCAGAGCCCACTGGTAGTAAATTCCAGAAGCTCAGGGCTCTCTCCTCTTCTAGGGCTCAGGAGGGTAACAGCAAGTCAAGAGGCCACGGAAAAAGTTCGGAAGGCCATTGGGAGAGGCAGGCCCAGGACAGGGAGAGAAGGGTTAAACAAGTTAAGAAAACTGTGAGATTCGGGGATCAGCATCTGGCCCCAGAGAAGCTAACTTCCATTGCTAGTGAGGTGTCCATCTCTTCAGGTCAATTCCATTATCGCCATAGAGGATCAAGTTTCTCCAGGACTCTAGGCCACTCTCAGCACTATCCCAAGCCACCTCTTGGGGGGATCCTACTCCTTTCACAGGGGATCCCCAGACCCTTCTCCTCAGTATGGAGCATGTTGGCTCCCACCAAGAGATTCCAGTCTCCCAGCCGATAACTTGTTCTCATGACACATGACACTATTAGACCTTCCAAAGAGAATGGCTACCATTTGTGTTAAGGGCATCATCCTTCCCAAATACATTCTATTCTTTTAACAAGAGTAGTTGTTTTCTGTCCCCTACCAGTGTTTGCTGCATTGCTTTGGGTGGTCAGGGTGAGGGGAGAATTCGTTGAATTGCCCAAGATATACATGCTCAAATTTGCCTTTTGGTCAGGAAGAAACCTTGAGGTCAGTTTCTGGGTCTTCAGGATAATAATCTGGCCACTAGGGGGCAGCTCACACCCGAAGCTGGTGATTAAGAGCTTCCTTGATTAAGAACCTCCCGGCTAGTTTCTAAAAGCCTGGAGGAAAAGGGGAGTGGGGTGGTGGTTGAGAGGCTATTATAATCCCTCCCTCTCTTCCCTCCCCCCATTTCCCTGTAGTGCAGTGGTTCACAGATGCTCTATTTTTAAAATACTTTATTTTTTCATAATACTGTCATTACAAAAAAATACAAAAAAACTACTATAAAAACATTCAGGGGCTCATCAAAATGAGAAAAGCCAAGAAAGCCCCCACCCCAGTTCCTTAGGGTGTAGCCACAGACCAGGCCAGAGTCAACAACCCCTTCTCCAGGGTTCCCTGCTGTCCAGGATAATATACAATTGTACAGTGTGGAACAGCAAGGTAGGATATTCTGGATTCCCCAGACTCCAGGGACAGGACAAGTACAGCTCCATAGGCCAAGGAAAGGACCACAGAAGCTTGGAGACGGAGCAGACTAGGACTGGAAGGGCCTGACAGGGGCTCTGGCAGGGCTGAAGCCCTGGGGCAGGGAGGCCAGGGCATCGCTGCTGTGACCCTGAATTCCCAGAAGGTGGAGAAAGCTCAAAATCCCCTTTTGGATCAAGGCTAGCAGCATCAAGGAGCTGCCCAGTACAAAAATGTAAAAATCCCTCCCTCCCCAGCCCCTTAGTTAAGCCTAAAAGAAAACACATGTGGTACGTATGTGCTTTCCCCTTCTGCCCACCCCAACTTCCCCCAGCCTGCAGACCCAGTTTGGCATGGGGAAGGTGTGGCTGTCAAAGGAGGGAAAGTGTTTGAGGCATGTGTGGTGAAGCAGAGCTGCCTCCCAGTCCCACTTTTCCACAGGCAGCTCAGCAAACGCCACCCCTGGTAAATACAAAGTGTCTCGTGCTCAGTGGCCCTCCCCACCCCCCTCCCCAATCCCAGAGTATGTGTGCACAAATATGTGGGAAGGTATGTATGTGTACATAACCGAGTACACGTGAATAGTAATCCTTCTCCCCCCTCCCCCCCCCCGTGTGGTGATGGTCCGGGGTAAGAGTGTCCTGTTTGTGCTCCCTTCCCCCTCCAACATTTGGCAGGAGAGGGAGCGAGAAAGGAGGGCAGGAAGGACCTCAGCAGCGGGTAGGGGAACGACATGCTATTTACAAGCCTGGATAGGAAACCTCTACAAATCGTCAAGTAACAGTCAAGTCACTCTCCAGCCATCGGGAGCAGTAAAACTGGATTCAAAGCTTGGGACAAAAACAGCGACCCCTGGTCCTGCGGGAATCCCTCCCTCCCTCCCCCCACCCATACTTCCCACCCTAGACAGCACTGCCAGGTAGGGGCGGTAACAACTTTCTGAAAACAAAAGTGGCTTTTTTTGCATTTTAGAAAAAGGTTGCCCGGTGGGCTGTAGGGCCGGCTGGATTGCCTTTCTGGCTGCTGGAGCCTGGGGCCGGAGGGCGGTATTGCTGTGGAGGCCGGGAGCCGGCCCTGAGTCTGAGCCTAGGAGCAAGGCAGGTGCTGTTTTAAGATTTGTCGCGTCTGCGGGGCTATCCTGTCCGGGAAGCGCACTTTGAACTCCACTATGAGGTCGCCCCGCTGGGTGGGCACTTTAGGGAAGGGCAGCCCCTCCCCACGTAGTCTCTTCACAGTGCCCGGCTTGATGACATCATTGCAGGGTAGGGGGATAACTCGGCCATCGATGGTGGGAATGTTCACAGTGCAGCCACACAGCGCCTGGGGAGGAAGGAGAATGAAGGCGAGATGGAGAGTGGAGGCGACAGAAAGAAGGGGGTACTAATTTCTGAAGGACTGTGAGGAATGGGAATGGTACCCTCTACAGCTTTTCTGCATTGGGAAAGGGAAGCAAATAGGGGAAAGGTGGGGTGAGGGAAGTGGTTATAGACCCTAGCCATCAGAGAATTGGGGGACTTAGGGAGAACCTCCTACCCGCGACCATCCCACACCAGCCTCTGGCTCGGGAGTCCCGGACGAGGTCCCACCCTACCTCCTTGAGGCTGATTAGGGCACTGTAGACCACGTTGGTCCCGTCTCGTCGGAAGTGGGCATGAGGCTTATCCTTAAGTACAAAGACTATGTCGGCGGGGATGTTGTCAGGCGTGGCGTCGCCCTCTTTGGGAAAGGTGATCTTGGTACCCTCTTTCCAGCCCCGCTTGATGACGATGTGTAGGATCTTGTCCTCCGTACGAACGGTCCGTCCGTCGGGATTGAGGCGCCTCCGGGTGATCTTCATGCGCTTAGTGGAGCCGTGGTAGACCTCTTCTAGGGACACTCGAAGCTCATGCACTACAGGAGGATCCTGCACCTTTCGCCGGGGGTGCAGGGACTCCTGAGGTCGCCTGGGTCCTCCACTCAACCCATTGAAACCAAAGCGGCCGAAGGCACCAAATGGGTCGTCATCTTCGTCCACATCCATGTCGTCTGGGTCGAAGCCGTTGAAGGGCCGAGTGGTACGACTGCTGGCGAAGAAGATGTCGAAGGGGTTGGAGCCGCCGAAGAAGGAGGCGAAAGTAGCGTGGGGGTCGCCATGGAAGGTGTAGTGGAAGGAGCCCCCAGAGCCTCCAGAGCTGCCACCACCGGTCTTCAGGCCTGGGCAGGGAGGGGGGATGGAGTGGAGGGGAGGTAAGGACAAAAAAACACCCTCCAGTCTCGGGTCTGGCCCTCTTACCTACCCCCACCCCCATCCCCTAAACAGGTGCCTAGGAAGGGAGAGGTTTGCTCCTAAGAGCTACCTGATACTCACTGCTGGCTCTCTGGATATTTTAACCTCCCCCTTCTCTTGAAAAAGACTGCTGGGGAAAGGTTGGCAGCTTACTGCTTTGTGCCAATGGAGAGAATAACATCTGGTTTTGAGAATAACAATAATCCCCCCCCCCATCTCTATAGCAGGTCCTTATACACTCATTATTTAGTCTGATCCACCTGAGGCTCGGAGAGCTGAAATGATTTGATCAAAGTAACCCAGCAAGTAAGCATAGGATTAAAACCTACTTCTGACAACTATATGATGCTCTGTGAACCACATTAACTCTCATGCCCTTCAAATAGCTCATAGTCCTTTCTTCAGGTCCTTTCCTGGCTGAGAAATGGAACCTCAGAGGCTGAATGTTGTCTCTGATTCATACACTAAGAATTAGGAAAAATAACTCCTAGATTCTTGCTTAGCCCTTAGGAGAAGAGGACATTCACTGGCCACGAAGTGGATGAAGTGGGTGATGGTGGTAATAGAGAATCCAGAAAAGGTCCGTGGTAATCCACAAGGGTTGCTGGTGGACTTTCCCCACTCCCAACGGCAACCAAGGGTAGGCAAGGTGGGTAGCTATGGTGAAACCCAAGGGAGGTCACATGAGGGACACTTTTTGGTGGCTGATATTTTGAGGGTTTTTTTTTTAGTAAAAGCAGATTTTTTTAATGTCTGAAAATTCCACTCTCTATAGCAGCTAGGTATTTATTTTGTGATAAGTGGCATGTGTTACAGTTACAGTGGAGGCTCAAAGCTTCTGGTGAACAGTAACACAAAAGGGGAAGCAATTTTCAAACACTGCCTAGGGCACACAAAAGGCTTCTAGCAGCTCTGTACTCATCCCACCCCCTCCCCAACAGTGGGAGCCAGATTGAGATATGACTGGTGAGGAAGACCAACCCTCCTCCCTCTCCTGTCCCTATGGGGGAAGCTTCAGGGCCCAGAGGAAGAAACAAGCTGAATATATTCATGAGCATAGAAAGGAGGAATACTTTTTCTGGAGGTTTCCAAATGCTGCCCATGGCCCCATACCAAGTGCCTGAATGGCAAAATGGCATTATTAGGACTTTTTACTCCCACATGCCATGGGACCCAACTGGGAAGTCAAAGGCTGCCTATCCCCCTTTGAAATTTCATTCCTCACACTGGCTTCAGAGTGGTAGAGATTGGATTTTCTTTGGAGCCTTTCACCTGGAGTTCCCAGCAGGCTTACTGCACTCTTCTTACTCTCATCTCCTCCCATCCCCCTCTCCCGCAAGGCAGAGCCCAAATTAGCCTGTTACTTCCCTGGCAAAGACTTGAGGGTCATGAGGACAGGTTTAGGTTTCATTTTTTGGGAAGGAATCAAGGTTGGGGGCTCTTGGATCAAGGTAGTAAAGGCTTCAACCTCCCCATGGGATTCCCAATAGGGCCCCCTCACCCAGCGGGCTGGGAACAGGCTGTCCTCAGCCGTTCACAGCTCACAGCTCCTGGTCTGTCTGCACGACAGGCTTCTTGTGGGGGTGGCTGTGGAGGAGGCAGCCTGGAATGGCAGCCAGAAATACTACCAGCCTCTGGCACTCTGGCAGACTAGGGTATGTGGTATTCACTGTTTTAGTCCAGCACCTCCCCCTAGTCCTTGAAGGAGAGTCAGCATATCCAAAGAGGATAGGTAGGGGTGAAAAAAGGTAGAGAGCAAAGAGCGGCTAGGTCCATAGACTTTTCCGTAGTCACTGTCTCTTCAGGAACAATGACTTCTGCCTCTGACCTTAATCCCTGGTATGCTATAAGCCATAGGGACCCGCTGGTCAAACTTGGTAACCGAAGGGGAGAGAGGTGGGAGGCCCCTTCCCCCTTCCCTTTCTACCCAGGGCAGCTGGACTTTTGCCTAGGTCAGGACCCTGAAGTGGATGCAATTCTTGGGTTTGGCCACATGGTGGTTCATGGACTGTACACCCCAACACTGGAGTCAGGCCAGAAATCAGATTAAAATGTAATTGGAAAATACTTAAAATAAATAAAAAAAAACAATAAGAGATGGATAGTATTTCATTTTAAAACAGTCAATTTGTGACCTGCAGGGACAGGGATCCTTATGCATGGATTAGCGGCTCTGTATCTATTTGAGTTGGACACCTCTGTTGTACACTACCTTGCTCTGGTATCCCTGCGAACTTTTTGGATATTCTGGGAGACTCCTGGTGATTCAGAGAAAGGTGGTGAGTCTAGGAAGGGAGTGTCCAAAGGACTGGGAGAAGGAGGTAGGCAAGGGGAAAGGGGAGGGCAGAGAAAGGAAAGGAAGGTTCCTCTTGGGGAGGGCAGCCCTAGGCTCTGCTTGAGACAGTGTTGTCT